AAAGAAACTAAAATGATTAAATTTGTGAGGAAATAAAATAGAAAATGTTGATTTTGTTAAATTACTTAATGTTTTCCTTAATTTAGAATTAATAAACTTAGAAAATAATCCGTTAAGTGGAAATGACTTAGATAAACTAGATGATAACCAATTTTTTCAATTAGTAGAGTTGGTTACAACAAAAAAATTGAAAATTAACTCATGAAAAGGAACCTTTTTGCTTAATTTTTTAAAGTATACCCGACAATTAAAAGAAGAAAATGCTCAATTAAGAAAACAAACCCAATCCCAAATCCAAATCCTTCCAAAATAGGAGATTCATTTTTGTATTTAAGAACAATACTTTTAAACAGTTTTTGCTTTTGAGGTAAGAGTGGGAATCAAAATCAAATCTTTTTCAATGTTTTTTTGGAAAACTGGACGCATATGCTTTCAATTTACTAGCTCCACCATAAAAGGTAAATTTGATTGCTCAAACTCTTCTCGCATTTCACAAATAATTTTGCTAGGAATGTTATCATAATAACAAAGGTTCAAATCTGACAACTTTCAAGCATTTCCTTTTACCCTTGAACCATAAGCATAAAACTGATAAGGATACTTACTTAGTATTTGCTGGATTATTTTCCAGTGTCTTTTTTCTAATTGGAACATGGCATTAAAGTTTTTTTAAATTTTTAATTAGTATGTCAAGATTTTTTAAGAACTGGGGCAAAATTGGATAAACTTCTTCCATTATTTTCTCATAATGCTCGTGAACAGTAATATTCCTTTTTTCAACATAATCAAATCAGGATTCTGCATCCGGAATTAAACTTTCTAAACCGGCTTTATTCGAAAAACTTCTCTGGTCGTATAAACATAAGTTCCCTGCAAACTAAGTATTTTTCAACAAGTTTTATAGGTCAATAACTAACTTCAAAAGCTTGGATAGTCCCGGCAATTTCTAATTCAGTTTTGGCCTCCCGGAGGGCTTTTTGGAGGAAATTGCGAGCGGATATTAGAGGATCGATATCTAATTTACCATTCAGAATGTATTTAGGCATGATATGCTAGTTTTTTCTCCTTTTCTTGAATTCATATCTGTTAATGCTTAAAATTGGTCCCAAAAGGAAGATAATTATAAAAAGCAAAATAAACAAAAAAGTAACCGATAATGCTTCATCATTAATTTTTTTAAATCTTTCTGGGAAAAACAACTGCGCTACCAGGTACGTGAAAATTCCCAGACAAAAATACAAAACTCCACCTTTTGCCTTTAGCCACTTTTCTCCTTTTTTGACCTTATTTCTCCACTCTAAATAACAATCATCACATTGAGCCATTTTCTCATAATTTTCTAAGTTTAACGAAAATCGACTAATCCAACCCTTAGAATCGTTTCTGGAAATTTCATGAACTAATTCACCTGTACTGATGAGACAATTACAGTTCCAACATCTGGCAACAACTTTTTCTTTGCTTTCTTTTTCAATAATTAAAGCACATTCCTTACAAATTATTGTTCCTTCAATTTGCATTTCTTTTCCTTTTGGGATACCTTCATGACATTTACTGCATAGCATAATATTAATTTTTTTATTGATTCTAATTTGAAGGTTGAAAAAAGTTTCTAATTTGTTTTGCTTAGACTCTACAAATTTCTTTTAACATATTCCAATTTTCATGTGATTTACTCATATCCCCCTTGGTAATGAACAAAAACCTTCATTTCTCATTTTTTCTCGCTTCTTCTCCTAACTCAAAATTTAAAGCATTTACTCACTCTTTTGCGGCTTGTTTCTTCTCTTCAATTTCGGGATTAGGATTATTATCATCTTTAATTTCCACTAACCAATGAATATCATTTTCATCTATCACCAAAAAATCCGGATAATAATATCTCTGAGTTGCTCCTCATAATATGTATAACTCATCTCCTCATGATAAAAGTCTGATTCATTTTTTAACTTCCTTGGTTTTATCAATTAAACGAGAAAATTGAAATTCAATCGCACTATCGAAAGTGTCATAAGTATATAAACTTTTCATAAAACGATAACCCTTAGATTTTTTGATAAACTCTTCTGCTAAATTTTCGGTCACGGTTTCACAGTTGAGTTTTCTGTAATAATTGAATGTTTTCTCAATAACTTCTTGGTGGGCTTCATTTTGGTTAATGTATAACTCCTTAAATATCTCTCGAGTTAATTTTTTCAGTTGTTCTTGACAATTTTCTAAATACTGATTTACTACTTCTCAATTGGTCGCTTGCAAAAATTTATCTACCAAAATGCCTGCGGTTTCAATTTCCTTGGGATTAACCTGGACAAAGGAATTATTTTTGACAATACTTTGAATTAATTTATTTCTAATTATTTCTTCTTGGGGAAGTTGCTGGGTGGCTTCAATAGTTAACTCTTCATCTTGGGTGCTTTTTCAAGTAATTTTTTGTTCGCCATCACTTACTTCAATTTTTCAGCGTTGGAGAAGATTTTTCACATTTTCAACCGAAGAAAATTTTTTTCCTAACTCGCTAAATTTAGAACCATAGCCAACCGTTCAAATTCTCCGTAAGGAAAAATTAGTTGGTTGGACCTTTTGCCGCAATATTTTCAAAGTGAATTTCTCTTTAATTTTATTAGGTTCAATTAAGGTTTGATTTTGGTTTAAAATGTCCTGCTCTCTTTCCCCAGAAGTTTGGAGAGGAAAACCAGTGATTGGTTCTTCTGGATTGCTTAAAAAATTAGGGGACTCGGGATTGTTCTGGGGAAAATCATTTCCAGAAGAGACTCGGTCGACTTCATCACTTATTCCAAAAAAATTACTCTTCAAAGATTTACGAACATCCAACAACTCTTTAAAGTTATCATGCATTATAATTTCCAAGTTATTTAAGGCTTCTTTGGGAGTATATGAACCAAAAGGCAAACGCAAACCCCGACCAATAATTTGTTCGATAAAAGTGGCTGATTTAAAGGCTCGCAAAGGAACAATCACATAAACATTTTTGACATCTCAACCCTCTTTTAGCATACCAACCGCAACAATAATTCGGGTGGGGCTTTGGAGATTATCAATATTTTGTAATCCTTGGGCTAAATCATCGGTAATTTTACTGCTATCAACTTGGAGAATATTTTTTGGAGGAAATTCACAATTAACAATTAAACTGGTTCGAATTTCCTCGGCTTCCTCAATGCTGGGAGCAATTACCAACATTAAAGCCTTTTGAGATTTTAAATTATTTTGCTAGGTGTAATTATCTAAAAGAATTTGCTTAGCCTCTAATGATTTTATCGCATCTTTTAATTTAGTTTCTTCGTCCTGGTAGCCGTCATAGCGACCAACCATAACCGGAATTTTGATTAATTTATCCCGCAAGGCTTTTCATAGAGGATACTCAAAAATGATTTCCTTGGTGGGTGTTTTTTCGTGCGGAGTGCCAGTTAGTCCAATTAAAATTTTTGGTTTTAGTTCCCGAATGGCTTCAGAAAATCTTTCCCCATAATATAAATGGTGTTCGTCAGCCAAAATAACTAAATCATCTAATCTGCTTAAATGCTCCCGTAAAGATTGTCCTAATAATTCGTCATAATTACTAGTTTTGCGAGCGGTTTTGCCTTTGGCTTGAGTTAAAGATTGAACGGTAAAAATAAATAATTTAACTGAATTTTTATCAGTAGTTTTGGCAGTATGGAAATTTTTGATATCAATAATATGAGGCGGTCTAATAGTTAATTTATCAGCCAAAGAATTAGGTTTATTGAGGGAAAAATTGTTGATGGTCTTTTCTCGAATTATCTTTCCTGGAGCCACAATTAAAAAATTAGTTATCTTTTCCGCTTCGGCTAAATAGTTTAGAATAGCAGCAATTATGTAAGTTTTCCCACACCGGTCGCCACCGATAGAATATACTCATTCTGGTCTTTGGTTTGGTAATAGTGGATTAAAAAAGTTTGAACGGCTTTCTTATTTGGTTCGCGTAGTTCTAGTTTTTTGGAAATATTGTCAAGGATTGTTTGTTTAAGCATTTTTAAGATATTTTTTTGACAAAACTAAAAACTTTTTTAATACTCCCTCAACCTTTTCCATTTGTTCAGAAGTTAACCTACCGGCTTTTTCCCCCAACTTTTTCTTGTCGATAACTCTTATTTGGTCAACCATAACTTTACTTTCTCTATTTTTAGGGTCATTGATAACTACTTTGCCTAAATATAATTCAAACGCCCGAATATTTTTTACTTTGCTAGAAAACGGCAAAATTGCTACGCGGGAAGCTTCTTCATTATATCAATCAATCGAAATAATGAGAGCAGGTCTTTCTTTACCATTGATTTCGGTCCCGGATGATTTGTCGTCTCCCTCTAATTCGCTAAAATCTATTCAGTAAATTTCGCCTCGTTTAGGTGATAATGATTTACTCATCATCAATTTTGCTAGTTATTTTATCTCAAGCTTTCAATTCTTTTTCTCGCTCTTTATCTTGGCTGGCTAAACGAGCATCTTGGCGTCAAATTTGCTCTTCGGTTATTTCTTTTACTTTTACGAACTCTATGTTTTCTGCTTCTAATGCTATTTCTCACTCTTTGCCCTTTATTTCATTTATGATAAATATTCTTTTTTGTTGTTCCATAACTTCTCTTTTTTATATAATTATTTTTTTACTTTTAAGAGCAAAAGCATTCAAAGGCTTATCTAGTTTCCTTCCATACCAAACATGAAAAAAAAAGTATGTATTTAGACTAGACGCATCTTGCTCGTTTTTGATACCCAAAATATAATAAGGAACGATTGGAGTTTGTCCTTTGCTAGTGAAAACGAAGAGAAAGTTATTCTTTAAGCGCTTTTTTTTTATGCCGTCTTTTCCTAATAAAATCTGCACTTTATCAATTCTTTCAAAAATTTCCTTGTTACGAAAACTTTTGATCTCAGTCTCATTTCAAAAACTTGAATCAACAATTAAAAATAAATTTTTTCTACCTCTCTTTACTAGTTCTTTCAAAATTAAATTTAAGATAGAAACTTGGTTTTCTTCAGCAGTTAACTCATGTATAGTATTATCAACATAATTTTTTTCTTCACATATAACTTCAATAATCTCTTTCTTCAAGTCTCTAAGTATTCCTTTTTTTGCTGAATCTAAAACTTGGTTTTTGACAAAATCTTCTCACGATCCCGACCTTTCTAAACTCTCTCTAATGTCGTAAGGAATATTCATAGGATAAACCTTTTTTTCTTTAAAATTGCTTAAATCTTTGTTTTCTATTTCTTTAACATTTTCGATTAATAAGGAAAAATCTGAGTTATCAATAAATTCTTGTATTTCTTTTTTTGCTTCTTCTTCGTTAATTATTGCTTTTTTCATAAAA